ACGGCGAACTCCCCATCATGGTGTGAAGGCGGTGAGGTCGAGGGCGGAAGACGCGATAGAGCACGCGTCGTAGTGACGACGCCTTGGTCTTATCACCGATCCGGCGATAAAGGACTCCCCACAACGATGTTTCACGGGTGGGGATGGGCTGCTCCTATGTACAATGACATGAAGATTAGTGATGTTGTTCGTGTCTTGGAGCACAAGAATTTGCACAAATAACTGATATAGCGCAGCAGAGGGCGCGATAAATCACTCACATTACCAGAAAGAAGGGACGTCTCAAGCTCCCATGCAGCGAAGCTCGCAATCGGATGTCCGCACCTGTTATTAGCCCGTTCCTTCTTCACCTAGTGTATGCTGCGCGGTTTGAAGCGACGGGGCCATGAATAATGTGTAGGCAGTGGGATTGTGTAGATCACTAATGGGGATGCTGTATCCTCGGCGCCCTTTGGTGCGATGTCAATGGTTCGCTGTCATTCATTAGCTTGTAGATCGGCGACATAATCCATGACTCACATGTTCCGGTGGTCAGCACCTTAAACGAAGAGACGGCAAAGAGCTATGGCCCTTGCGCTCGTGCATTGTAGTCAAATGTCCTCGGTTCTATTAATATCGCATCCTCTTCAGGATCAGTAGAATCCAGACAGGTCAGGCTAAGATTCACATACCTGCGACGCGGATATTCGCGCTTTCTCTTGGGAATACACACAGAGGCTGTACAGTAGATCGGCTTAGTCGGCTGCTGTGGCGGAGGCATCTTCGCATAGACACCATGGCCAGCTAATGCAAAACTCGTATCTTTAATCGGCTGGTGTGAATGGCAGTGCATCCGGTGGGAATCATATCTGTATCTCTCACAGGCACTGTCTGGCTTGCCCATCCACGATGTATTCTATAAATGTCAGTACAGTTGAATTCAGTACTGGGTCAAAGGTGGAGAACTTATCAAGTGACTCAAGACAAAAGCCTGCTCGACTTTGTGTGGTCAAGTGAAGAAATTGTAGAGCAAATTTCTGGCGGTAGAGGACGTATTTATAGGCTTCTCGGCTTCTTCCGTTGCGCTTGTTCTTTGCTTGGTAGAACGCGTTGGGGGACACTTCTTAATTGAGGCCTGTTGAAACCCATGTCTTCTTTGAACCGCAACTATTTGTAGCGACATTTTTAATGCTTTCAATGCTCAGCGAGAGAGACGAGCAAGACTCGTGCTGAGCAGCAGCATGCTGAGTTGGTCAAGAAACGTTAGCTGACTGTTGAATCCTTCACGGCCCTCTTAAATTGAGGCACTGCCAATCCGCAATGACAGGCTCACATCTCTTGTTCTGATATCTCACCTATGAGTGACTCAGCGTTGGATCACCCAAAAGCGCCTACAATTTCATACTCGAAATCATGGAGTTTTTTCCTAGCCTCGCTTTAGAGTGGTGTTGGTTGTGTTGAGCTGTGGGTCTGTCCGACCAGACTGCGGAAAGCGAGGTCACAGTAGGATGTGCTCGACTCGTCAACCCGTTGAAACTCAGCCCAACGTTATCAACACTCAATTTTCGAACTTGTGACCATGAAAATGCATTGAATAATAAGAAAAATTGTTTTTTCTTCTATATTTCTTCGTTTTATGACAATAAGTTCTACAATATTCTATTTGTCGGATTTCTGAGGCGTTCAACGGAAGAGAAAGAGGTGTCTGATTGAAATATCCTCAATAAGCGTTGATCTCTGGCCCTCAACATCGCGAGGCTTGATCAGTTCCCCGACTGATATCCCTATTGCTGAATACACTGTCAGGAGCCCGCTGAAAAGTAGATCGACTCCAGTGAGAATTTGACTGCTTCGATTGACCGTTGTGGTGATTGTAAAACCCAGCCCATAATTTATGGACCTACATCTGCGCAGTCTATAAGAGACACTAAGGATCGATGGAAATTGTATTAACCAGACCCGTGACTTTTTTCTGCGGACAAAATAAAATCCCAGAACAGCTCTCCACACCAGGAAAAAGAAGGAGATCAGCAGCCCAGTGAATTGCCCTCCTTGGTGAGAAAGACAAACCACAAGAAAGTTCTGACTATGGCCCGTTAGCAAGTGAAACGGTTCGGCTTCAAACGCTTTTGATGACCATTGCAGCCCTCGCCTTCGCAGCAGGAAGCAGGAACAAGACACACCCTGACGACCGAGGCATTTCAACCTATCTTGAAGGTGCTAGCCGACCTCGAACGCGACGATCCCAAGTTGGCCTTCCCAGCAGCTCGACTAGTTGGACTTTATCGACGCCTATGGGATTCATGCGTGTTCAAGCACATCGATGGCCAGAAGCTAGATTAGGAAAAACCTGTTTTGAAGGAAGCTGGTGCGGACCTGAGAAAAGAGAGGGACGGTCTTCAGCTTCTCCACGATAAGCAGATATCCCGGTTGCGCTTTTTCGAGGAGGCACTGGAATCATCCCGGGAGAGGCTGATTAGCATCCTTGATGACTGGAATCACCCTTCGAGACTCAATCTGGCAGGGTTACTGGATAATGTAAGAGGATGGTGATGGACTGTCCCTCGGGGTGACGTGCCCTATTGTATCAGTATAGAAATACTACAGTTGAATTGGCAAAATCAAAAAGAGTAACCACTCATTATTGAGGAGTAATCAAGATTAGGGCAAGGAGTAGCCTCCGATTCAATTTATGCTCATTGTTAAGTGTTGGCGAACAATTTCACGTCTTCCGGGTCGGCAAGAGAGTTCTATCCAAACTACCTCACGACGTATTAAAACCAGCTCGTGTATATATTAATCAACAAACATTGTTTGTTTGACTCTGAGAGTCCATACAGAAATCCCAGAAGCGTCAAAAGCAATTCTAGGAGCTGGCTGTTCCCGGGGAACTTCTCTTTAGCTCCTGGGGCCAGTTACTGTTTCTAGAAATTTGAGGTCTGCCTGCCCCTAGGATCTTCGCTCTGCCATCCTGACTAGATACAAACTGGCTCTGGGAACAGATTGCCTGGATTCTGGGAGCTATTGCACTCCTAAAACCCTACTTCTGGATCCTAGAGTAAATATTCTACCTTCTGAGGTCGCGGAAAGCCCTTACAAGACACCTTCACCAGACCTGCGCACAAAAATGAGTCATTCAAAGTCTGCTGGAAAGGCCAGCTATAACCCCAGGAACCACAACTGAGGTTCCAGGAGTTGATAAGACTGTCAACAGGAACATAATTTGGGTTCCCCGAGGTGGAGATATAAGACCCCAGAAGCTACATCGGTTTCCCTGGGGACTACGTGGTAGCTCCCAGGGCTGAAGATCCTGATGCTGGAAACATCAAAAGCATTAATAGGAGCTGTGTTTCCCTGGGAGCTACTTCCTTATCCTAGGAAACTAATCTACTCCTGGGGTGTTCACTCTACGTTCCTGAATGAACACGCACTGGCTTTGGGAACACATTGCCTGCACTTGGAAGCCGTTGCACTCCTAGGGCCGTATTTCTGAATCCTAGAATCAAACTTCTGCCTCCCAGCTTAGCGTACTAACTCACAAAACACCTTCACCAGACCTACGCACAAATCTGAGTCATTTTGTTATTCCCAGAAGCCTAGCCTAAGGGTTAGGAACCGCAATCAAGGCTCCAGGAATCAATCAGCTATCAACAGGAATATGACGTTGATTCTCCGATGTATAGGGATACGGTCCCAGAAGCTACGTTGAGTCTCCTGGGGGCTATATGGCCCCTAGAGACGGCGCATGTGCTCCCAGAAACCGAGACAAAGATTTTGGGAGCAGGACAACTCCCAGGACCAAGATAGGGCTGATTGAACCATATCCAGGTACGTGAAGTTTTCCGGACAGTCGAGATGAAAAGTCTCACAAGCTACATTTAATATCATGTGGCTGTCATTCCTAGGTGGCTCCCATGTTTCCACAATCAGCTTCTTGAAGTCTTCACGAACACCGATTTCGTGCACATGAGCAGAAAAGGTCGATGATCATGACGTTTCTGATACATCGAGTTACTCCAAGGGTGAGAATTAACGTGAGAATTAACGTGAGAGTACTCTGAGATTGACCAAAGTGGGCAGGGTAGTCAGATCAAGAACTGAGCATGCTTGGATGGCCAACAAATCTGATTGGTAAAATATCTCAGCATCATTGCAATAAAAATAATTTCTTGCATGACACAACGTCTCTTCCAGGTAGACATAGCCCGGGACAGACGGCGGCTTGTGATGTGATATGCTATCGACGCTGTTCAACACGGGAATGACGGCTTGCTTTGTGACATACGGGGGCGTGAAATTGCCTTGAAACACCAGATGTCGAGAAAGAGGAGCAGGAGTACTATTCTGATGTGGTGATGTCACTAAAAAACAGGAACTCAAAGCACTGGCAATGGCGCCCGAGCTATATATGATATAGAAGGGGCGTATTAGCGATAGCAATGTATGTACCGTTCAAATTCAATCTTACATTGATGGACTGAAAACACACAGGCTACCACTGATTCAAGCGATCATGTGATCATCGTGGCCAAGGCTCGTGGAAGACAGTATTGTCAACCCAACAACGCTGGGAAAAGACCCCGCCGGTTTCGCTGGACATCATCTACTTGGACGCCTGAACCTGTCCGCCGTTTCCCATACCACCGCTGCAATTTTGATTTCTACTTGGCAGAAATTGTCTAGGCAGAAATTGGAGTCGCGCAACACACTGGACATGTGAACGTAGACCCTTGTGTGGTCAATAGATTGGTAATACGGATGAATTTTAACCCGCTTCTGCAAACAATTTACGCCACTGCATATTCTCCTGTTCTTTTTTTTCTCCTTGAGTCCGAGGGATGCTCAAGCCTATGGTCCTGAAATGATGACCACGCCTTCCAACGAAGATTCCGGCGATGGAGTATGCCAAACTATTGAGAACATAGCAAACAACTTCATCTCTCAACATCGCGATAAAAGTCTTAGGCCTCTCAGGCTTGCCAATATCTCCATTTCCGAATTTTCCACCGAATTGTCGAACCATTTGTCAGTACTAAACGAAGGTGGCAGTATTGCCTTTGGCCGTGGAGAGGATTTGATTAGCAAGAGCCTGAGCAAAAGCCTAGAGAGCCTTTTCTCGATTGCCACACCGCTCGTGAGGGAAGGACCACCGTTGACCTGGACGAAGCTTGTTCTGTTTGCGGGTCCCCAGTTTGAGGGCCTAGCGCATTTTAAGATTGGGAATTCTAGCGTTGAGCTGTCAGAACATGATCTTAAACTATTACGATCTGGTAGGCCTTGGCGATTTCTCTTCCCTTGGCCAGATAAAGACGATTGCAAGAAGGAGCTCCAATCAAACGACACCGTATTGCAGGAGCTTGTTGATGCTCGGAAAGCAATAGGGGAAGGTGAGTGCCTAAAGATTTCACCTGCGATGTTGTATAGGAAGCTAAGGCCGAGCAATGTAGTCTTGGAACAAATTTCGCTTGTTGCGCGAAGTCTCCGGAATCACCGCGATCTGATCTCTCGACTTTCTGAAAATAAGCAACACGCCAACCACGGGGGAGGAGCTTTATCATTTGACGGTGCTCAATTCTCTGTTCCAAATGATAACTTTCTTAGCCCTGTTGCCTCGGCAGAATATGAAAGCTCGGGTTATCGAGATTCACCATCCAACACTACGATTATCCAGCATGCTAGCAATGCCCGGTCGGGTCAAACGGCTAATGAAGAGCTGAATGATCCAGCTCTACCAGAAGGTGACAGTGAGAACAATGCAAGACCAGGATTCAGGCTACACACATCCGACTTCATTCAGAGCCTGAGCGAGTAAGTGAAGCATCCATTGAAACATCAATACTGTTACCTTGTGAATTAATATATGAAAGCATCCTTGACGATTCGACGAATGAGGAGGCCATGCGTTGGTCAGAGAATGGGCAATCTGTCTTCGTCGCCCCAGAAAGCAAATTTCCTGCACATATACTTTCAAGGATGTCCTCTAAAAGCTACCAATCTCTCGTTCGGCGGCTTTATTACTTTGGATTTCATAAGGTCGGGGGCGCCTTCCATCATGAATCCTTTAGTCGCGGTCAGCCCAGCTCCATACGACCGACTCGGGAAATGAGCCACAGCCCTTCACTTCCATCGCCTTTATCCAATAGCACTTCTCAACGTGGGCCTCGGTACAAAATCATCAAAAGAAGGCGGACGAGAGAAATTGTTTGAGAGATGCCAAAATGATTAAATTTCAAAGCCTACGAGAAATTGGCCGAGAACTGCATGGAGCTTGGTCCCAGCGGGGGAAGGAATTTTCGAAAAGGCGACCATGGTCGCGTGAGCCAGGTCCATCCACCAGTGGTGGCTTTGTAAGTCTAACGTGGTTTTTCTGGTACGAGTGACTCCATGGCTGAATTTCCACGACCTTCCACATTAGCTCAATTTTCACAGCAATACCTGTACATATCAACAGCTGTGAAGCGCTGTCAGTCGGTCACCAGGCGTGATCTGCGGGACCCACATAGTGTATATGGCTTCCCCTGAACGCGAGGAAGCTACCTTTCCTTTGCTTCCTTGCGCTATGTCTTGTATCTAGAGTCAACATAGTTGTTCCTAATATCAATTGTTCATATCGAGACATTATCCACCTCTATGTACCCTTGAGACCCTCACAACCGTTCCAAAAGTTAACAAAACTATCCATAGGAATCTGGCCTTCATGACCTGTGGTGTAGGTACAAGACCCCAGACGCTACGTCGGGCTTCCTAGGGGCTGTATGGCTCCTAGAAGCGACTGCTATGCTCCCAAAACCCCTGCCAAGGCCTCCGGGAGCAAGAGACCTCCCAGCACCAAGATGTGTGTCTCTAGGGCTGGTGGAGCCGTCAACAGGAACATGACTTGAATTAATGAAAATGGACATGGAGAGTCCTACAAGTTATGTCCGATTTCCTGGGGCTTTGTAGGTCCTGGAATCGGCTCACGTATCTCCAGGGTCGGCTCTTTAAACTCTTTACGAACACCATGGTCGGTGGATATCTACGCAGAAAATATTAGAGTCCCGACCGTTAGGTTACGATGCTGGCATGAACCATGGTATTTTTCTGATCAACCCACAGTGATCGAAACTGAATTGAGCGGGCTATCCGCGGGTCATAAGATTGGAAACACTCTATTTGTTTGATTGGCGTGATTAAATCTCAGAGTCTGAGAACTCGGATGGAAAATTGAGGTACTCTCTTCGAGGTCTCACGGTGGCGAAATATAGTATATTGTAGAAGGAATCAACATTATTCGTAAATATTCTCGGTCGCCAGAGTAATGGTCAAGATGCACTGGAGGCATGAATTAAACTTTGTGGGTTGGCCGGAACCAGTCGGTTTCTCGGCCCCTAAAGCACAAAGCGGAGACTTTGTTTAGATCTACCATCTTGTCTTTGCATAACTAGCATAGTTTCTACAAGCTATCTGCTAGAGATATCAGGCTGGCGATCGAATTTGGCAGATGGAGAAGATGGGTCGGGCTAAAGAGAGTATACTTTTTACGAGGAAGGTGCAGGACAGAAGACATAGCTTCTAGAACGTTGCATAGACCAGATAAAGATAGCAGCAGCTTCCCCCTCGACGGATGACCAATCACTCTCTTGCGAGGGCAACTAAACCGCGGATCGGACCTCGCTGCAAAAAGTCTGTGATATTCCAAATACCTCATCTGCCCCAACCGACTTCCCAAGCAACAAACACCTGTTCCATCTGTACTCTGACGGCCCGTCAAGACTAGGCTTGTGGGTCGTGTCTGGACCCTTGCGGATCCTTACAATTTCTTCTCCAGGCCACAAATAGAACCTCTTTGATCTGCTGTCCCGTGGGTCCGAGCCGCAGGGATCTACATCGCAGTACCGTGCCTACGTCTGCCTAATTACGCCTGATGTTTGATTGGTATAACCGGTGCTTCATGTGTCCAGAGTTTCACCAGTATGATAGCAACGCGACAATGTTTGAGAAACGTGAAATTCGCGAAGTAGAGCGTATCTATCGTGTTCAATCAAGTGAAGTTGCAACTAATCTCCAGTCACGCTCGCTTTTGACGATTGGGATTCTTTTGAGGGGTGGACACCCCCTCTGCCTTGCACTGCTCTTCCAGAAATGGTTCCACAAAATCCCACTTCTTCATAAGAGCCTGCACCTTCCTTTTGAGAGCTTCGACTTCCCCTTCCAAGCATTCGATCTTCCTTGTTGCACAGTCTTCGTCTTCTCGAAACCTGTATTGTCTTAGCAGTCTTCCTCTTCTTCACATACAAGCCCGGAACCAGAATGAAAGAGGGGGTTAAGATCGGACTCTAGCGAAGCCCGTGAAACAGACATACCTCACTCGCCGAATCGGCCTGCGGTCATTAAGTTAGTCATGAACATGATGCCAGTCGTACTGTACGTGTCACTTACTTCTTGACTGCATTTGTATGCGCCTGGGGACGTCTCTTGAGAGAGTCTTTCTCAGTCAGCGCATGTCTCTTCTCGACGGGTTCGGCTGCTTCATCGTGAGCTTCATCGTTCTCTGGGTGGCCAGGAGACTCGGAATCTTCCGAGGACTCTTCTGCCAGAGCCTTTGACAATCGGGCTCGGGCATTAAAACTCTCCATTCTGCGCTCAGTTCGCCGCTGCGAATAGTCGTACATTGTAGAGAGTTGTTGTTGAGCCGGGAGAAGGGGATGTTACGAAGGATGCCGTGTGAACCATGATCCCAGAAACACGCTGACTCATCGTGGATGAAACGATATGAACTTTGCGTAGTGTTTGTGGGTGGCAAAAATCAAGGGTTGCTGAACATTGGCTTGTTGAATAAACCCAGCAGACCCAGCCGTTGGATGTTGAATGCTAGGACACAGTCCAGACTCACAACACATGCTAGAGCGAGAAGAATTCAAAAATGCGCTTCAGCGATGAGTTTCTTTCATGCGGGCCAGTACGTTGAAAGTATATCATCTCAATCAACGCATGGATTTGAGAAGAAAAATGCACATTATCCAAGCGGTATTACTGTACCCCTCGGCGAACCAGAGCAACCACGGGCATAGTGGAGGCGTGAATCTGCCAGCCCGAAACTTTGGAAAACACAGAATGAATCCCAACCACCGTTGAATTATTTCAACTCTCATCAACGTGACGGTGATTCTTGTTAGGATGTGCGCAACTGGTTCCTCTGAAGAGACGTGACCGAAAAGATATAAAAGGAGCTGGATTCCCAACCCAAAAATATCAGGACTTCGCTCCTCACACTCCGATGTGTCATGGTGTCCCTCTTGCCTACGGGCTTGAGAGTCTCCATGGCCACGGCTGTCGCTGCCACGAGCCCCGCGATGTAAGACATATGCTCCCTCGTTGCCCCGAGCCCCGCGAGCGTAAAAAGGTGCTTCGTAGGGCGAGCTCTGCGTCAAAAAATGTGCTTCGCAGGGGATTGCTGCGTTAACAAGGCCTCTAGCGATATGCAGGCACCTCTTCGCGGTGCTAGGGACCAGTATTCGAGTATTCAAGAGTACTCGAAGAAGCAAAGATCTGCGCACCATCTTGATGATGAATTTTGTAATTCAAGTTCATCATTGGAGAAATAAAATGAGCCCTAGATAGAAGCAAACCAATGTCAGAATCGTAAATTCAAGATTCAACCTTCGTTATCGAGTGCCGTATTCCCAACCCTCCTGTCTTCATGGTTTGCGGTCCGCTAGTCTTCCCGCCGCAATAGAATTTATCTGCCATCAGAGAGTGGAGCAAACAAAACGGTGAGTATTTTGGTGCGTCGTGGATGTGTTGATCGGTGTTGATGAACGTCGACGAGGGTGTTCAACAGATGAGCGTTGATGAGCGTTGTTGACCGTTGATGAACGTTGATGAACGTTGACGACGTTTTTGATGAGCTTTGGTGGTCGTTGACGAGGGTGTTCAACAGATGAACGTTGATGAACGTTGTGACGTGGTATGCGGCCGGGCGGTGAAGGTGAGTGGTCAACGTCTCACGTCTCACGGCCTTAGCGCGAGCCCTCTATTGCCAATGGCAGTGACACTGGACAATACAGAATGACAGCCCCACCTAACCCATTTGTGCGAAAGACGCGTGGTCTTCCGCGTCGCGAATACAATGCTCTGAAAAATGGCAAAGCCAGAAGAGCTTCTTGAGTTCATTGACATATTGGGACCGCACTCTGGGGAGAATCTTGCGGAATTTGTGCTGAGAATGCTCGAGGAACTAGACGTCGCGCCAAAGCTTCTCACAATCACCGGGGATAATGTTGCCAACAACGGAACCCTTTGCGACAGCCTTCATGCCGAGCTCCTCAAGAAATATGACGATAAAAATAAACCAATTTCGCATCAGACCTCTTACGCGATTCCGTGGACGGCAAAGATTTATTCATTGTCTTGCCCATGTCATCAATATCATTTGCAGGGACGTACTGGGTTCCCTGAGGGCCGGCTCAGCTCGAGAGGCAAAGACTATACTGGATTAACTGGCCACGCAAAACAGCCCAGCATTTACCTCTGCTCAAAGCACAAAAAGAGCAACATGAAGATCCGGCTGCAGATTCTATGGATTGCCCGCAGCCTGCAGCGCCACCAAAGTTGGAAAGAAAAGTCACCAGGCAAGCAAGTCGGCTACGATATTGACAACCGATGGAACTCAACCTATATCATGATAGCAGACGCCCTTCGGCTACAGAAAGAACTTGGACAATTTGTTCGGACGCATCCAGAAGTTGACGCCCCTCAGCTTACCGATAACGAATGGTCAATTCTTGAACAAGTAGCGAAAGTCCTTCAGCCATTTTGGGATTACACAAACTCGGTGTCAAACTCTTGTCCGACGATTGCTCAGAGTTTTCCTATATATTGGAGTCTAGATGGACTGCTTGACGATGTCCAAAAAGCCCAAGGTGGTTTTGAAGATGTGGATACCAAGATCCGAGATGGGATGGAGAGAGGAATTCAAAAAATGAACAAATTTGCAAGGAAGCTTGACACCAATCTTCTATACTGCGTGGCTTCCGTCCTGGACCCACGTATGAAATCGTCTTTGATTGGATCGCAGATGAGCGCGCAAGTTACGGGGCTGATCATCACTCAGGTAAGGGAATTCTTGAAAGAGTATTCGCATGAGCCGTCCATGTCGTGTGTAGTGGACCGCCCGCTAGGCATGTCCACGACTATGTGGAGGACTCTGCGAAAATACAGCCATCAAA